GTGTTTGCTATGGTGCACATGTATGGATTCTTGCCTTTGGAGCAGACTTCAAATCCAATCAGAAGGTGGTTGGTTACCCCACAACAGCCTCTGTTGCAGCAGTGGGCAAATCGTGGTGGGCAGGTGGCTTGCTGTTTCAGCATGCAGTGACAGTTAAGCCCATTGATATCGTTTCTTCTAAATAATCAATTAAAGTAAATTGATTTGACATTTAAACTAAAATATATGGGAACTTCAAAATTACTAAAATTTAAAATGTTTCTTTCTCAAGTCTGCATCCTTTTCTCCATTCCCTCACCGCCTTTCCTCTGCAGCTGAGAAGATAGGGGTGGGGGGATAGGGAGAGACAGGAGGTCAGGCTCACCACCTCCTCTGAGTCTGACTGAAAGGACAAAATAGAGCTGTCTTGAGTAGAGATGAGTAAGACTAGGGGCACACAAGCTACCTCTTAGCTGTTGGGTTCAGGGTGTCAAGGCTTTTAGCTGGCAGTTGAATAGAAAAGCTGGGGGCACAAGAAAGGGCTACAGTTTTTCCTAGGGTCTGGGAATGTAGCACTGTTGGCAGAGTGCTTGGCTAGCCTGCAAAAGCCATGGGTAGGATCATCAGCATTATATAAACTGGGCAGGATGCTGCAGGCCTGTAACCCCAGCACTTGGGAGGTGATTCTCAGCTACATGAGACCCTGCCTCAAAAAACAAAACAAAACAAAACAAAAAACCCTAAAGCTTTTCTTTTTTAAACATCTTGACCTATGACTATTTAAGTCACTAGGTAAGGTACCAGCCACAAAGACTCAGCCCTCCAACATAAAAGGGAGGGAGGAATCAGGCATAGTGGCGTGTTTCTACATGCATTTTTAATTCATTCACTTACAAAATTGAGTCAGGTGAGCCATGAGTTCAAGGTTAGCCTGAGCTACTTGATACACCCTATTTCAAAAACAAAACACCAAAGCCTGGCATCTCACAATTGTTGTTAACTCCACTTCGGTTCTGGGGGATCTGGCTCCCTCTGCTGGCCTCCAGGGGCACCAATTGTGCATGCGGTGTACATCCATCCATCTATCCAGGTTAACACACTCATAAGTTGGGTTTTAGGGTTTTTTTGTTGTTGTTTTTTTATTTTAATTAATTGAGCCCAGGTAGTGGTAGTGCTCTCCTTTAATCCCAGGAGGCAGAGGCAAGCAGATCCTCTTGAGTTCAAGGCCAGCCTGGTCTACAGAGCTAGTTCTAGGGCAGCTAGGGCTACAACAGAGAAACAGTCTCAGGGGGTGGGGGTGGGGTGTGTGTGTGAAATAAAACCAAACCAAAAAAACCCAAAACAAACTAGGATCAGAGAAAATGAAGAAGCCCTGGGGTCAGCCACAGCAGAGCAGTGTCTGTTGCCAATGGGAGAAGGCGTTTCCAGGAGAGAGGACCCTTGCCAGCAGGTCCTCTAAGAGTGAAACTTTACTATTGAAGGTCACGGATGACCTTGACAGAAGGTTCTTCCACGGGAGAGGAAAGTTCTGTCAGGACAAACAGGTGTTCCCTTTGACAAAGCATTTTAGAAAAAGGCACATGGCCTGGAGGGGTGGGGGCTGAGCTGGCCCAGTAGAGGGTATTGAATGGCTTGTTAGCCAGGGACATTTTTGTAGGGCCCAGCGGGCAAGCCATCTTTAGGGTCAGTGTCCAAAATTCTTGGCACTGTTCAGTGGTTTCCCAGGGCTACATACCTACAAAGTGCCTGTCACATGAGTGGCTGCCACCAGAAGGTGCCTAAGTGTGGTGATGGATCCCACAAAGGAGTAGAGGAAGGGCGGAGACAGCTCAGGTGGCTGTTCTGGGATCAGTTTGTTCTGTCTATGGTGAACATTTCAGCCCTTTAGAAAAACCACCAGCTGGGCTGGAGAGATGGCTCAGAGGTTAAGAGTACTGGCTGTTCTTCCAGAGGTCCTGAGTTCAATTCTCGAGACCACATGGTGGCTCACAACTATCTGCAATGAGATCTGGTGCCCTCTTCTGGCCTGCAGGGACACATGCAGGCAGAACACTCTATACATAATAGATAAATAAACCTTAAAAAAGAAAGAAAGAAAAGCCACCAGCCCCTTCCTATAGTCCCAGGAGAACCATGACTGTGTGTTAAGATTTGTTCAGAGCCTGTGGCTCTCTTTGTAGGAATTTGCTGAATTCCAGTCCTACTAAGATGCTGCTCCCCAAACCTTGTCAAAAGTTAAAGTTACAGGCTGGTGGGATGACTCTCTGGTTAAGAGCACTTACTGTTCTTAGTTTGGTTCCCAACAACACAGCTCATAACCACACACACACACACACACACACACACACCTCCCCACAGACACATAATTAAGAGATGAAAAATAGAAGAAGAAGAAGAAGAAGAAGAAGAAGAAGAAGAAGAAGAAGAAGAAGAAGAAGAAGAAGGTGATAATGATGATACAGCCTGGACCAGAGACACAAAATCTTTACCATCAGTTTCCCTTTGTCCTTGTAGTTTTCTTCCAGGTTTTGTTTTGCAGTGCCGAGGATGAAGCCCAGGGCTTGCACACACCTCACACATATTCCACCCCTGAGCTATCTATCTGTCTGTCTATCTATCTATCTATCTATCTATCTATCTATCTATCTATCTATCTATCTATCACTCAGACCTTAAGTTAGAACACAATCATCTAATAGCACAGCCTAGCTATGGCCAGAGAGAGGGTTCAAAGGACCCTGCTTCAAACTCTGTACACAGCCAAAATAGGATCCTATCTCCACTGCTAGATGTCCCTGGGCCTCTTCATTCCCGGGCAGCTGATGACATTGGGCTCTGTTCTGCATTTTGTCTGTCCAGCTCTATCACATTCTAAGAGCAGCCGGGGTGGGGTGGGGGACATGACGATGACACTCCTGTCCTGGGTCGCTGTGTCTGCTGATTTAGAAGGGTTCTGCTTTGGGGTTGTGAAGGAGAAGGTTGTGATGAGGGCCCTTTCTTTTGTGTGTTTATGCTTTTATGACAACTGTCTCTGCAGGATAAATTCTTAGAAGTGGAATGTTAAGTCCAAGGTTACCAACCCCTCACTTTTTTTTAAAGATTTTATTTATTCATTTATTATGTATACAGTCCTCTGCTTGCATGCAGGCAGACGGCACCAGATCTCATTCAAGGCGGTTGTGAGCTACCATGTGGTTGCTGGGAATTGAACTCAGGACCTCTGGAAGAACAGTCAGTGCTCTTAACCGCTGAACCATCTCTCCAGCCCTGACCCCTCATTTTGAGACAACTTGCCTTGCCTTCGTCTGCTTAACTGTTACGTCCTGTTACTTGTCCACCAGCTACACTAATGTGAGGGCCTCTTTCTATAACCACCACACACAAACACACTGGCCCTCATCAATAGGGTTTAAGTGGTGTTATCAAAGATGCTAAAAGATGCTTCTTTTTAATTCCTGGCCCTGTTTAGTCAGTGTAGCTCAAGCCCTTGTACATGTTGCTCGCTAGAGACATTCCTCAGTGACAAGTGGTCCTGGGGTTGGATACCAAAGCCTTGGCTCTGGCAGTTATCTTGCCTTTGTTGGATCCTCTCTAGACAGGCACTGGGGAATTTGTCATTGGGTGCAGACATGGTTCTGCCTACAACCCGCGGTGGCATAGTAACTGGCGTATATGTAAAACCTGGGAAACAGTGCTCCCTCATCCTGTGGGTAGAGCTGCAGCAGTTTACGTCTTCCTGAGACCTTGATTCTCCCCGCTTTCCCCAGGGAGCCCTTAGGAGTTCTGTAGAGTCAGTCCCTCTTGGGACTGAGACGGTGTCTGCTGCCTGAAAACCCTGGCAAGTGCCCCTTCCCAAGAGTGTTTCAAATCAGTTCTAATATGAATATGAGGTCTGCACATTAGTTTGGGGGATGGGGCAAGCCATGTGGGAGAGCCAGACTTAACCGGCAGAGATCTCTAGAGCTTTCACCTGAGTTGGCCGCAAGCCTCCATGTGCATGTGGTGGTGGGTATGTGTGTCTATGTGCCCGAGCAAGCATACCTGCTCATTCTTAGAGTGGGTCAAGCCCTTCTTGGCTATTTCCGTTTTTTGATAGCCAGATGCCTCACAGATTGCCTAAGAAGTATTTCCACCCACAGTACTTCTGCAGAAGGTCCTGATTCACCTGCCTCTCAACTCTGTATCAGGTTAAGGGGAAGGCCTTTCCAAATGTGGGTCCTGCCAGGCCAGATACAGTGCATTCGATCGTGGCTTTGAGACCCAGAGCCTTGGCTTTGGGCAATATGGCTATCCTTGGTTCCCTGCAGGGGAGTTTGCCAGGCAGAGCTGTGAGAGAGTAGTCCATGAGGCTGTGGGCAGTGTTAGAGCCCCTGTGGAACTGGCATATACATGCCCTTGTACTTTTTTTTTTTTTTGAGACAGGGTTTCTCTGAGGCTTTGGAGGCTGTCCTGGAACTAGCTCTTGTAGACCAGGCTGGTCTCGAACTCACAGAGATCCGCCTGCCTCTGCCTCCTGAGTGTTGGGATTAAAGGTGTGTGCCACTACTGCCCAGCTGTGGCCTTGTACTTTAGCCTCTCACTTCCCTGGGGCCTCGGAACCCCTGGCAGGCAGTGCCAGACAGAGCCTGTCATTTTTATCCTCTTTAGGTTTTTTTCCCTCTTCTTTGGTATGTGATGGGGATTATATATAGTCCAGACTGGCCTGGGATTGACTATGTAATCAAGGATGGCCTCAAACTTGCAGCAATCCTCCTGCCTTCACCGTCTGGGTATTGGGATGGCAGATGTGAGTCACCATACCCAGTTTCCATCCTCTTTAAACTAAGAGTCCCAAGTGTGATGCATTTAAAAATACTGTGGTTCTTCCTGTTCGTAAGAGCAGCATTTGCTTGTGGAAGAAGCATCAGAAACCTAGGAAGAAAAGAAACTGCAAAGTCTCTACCCAGCGACTCAACCCTGAATGGATTGACTTGCATTGAGGGGAGTTGCATACCTGACTTAGTGTGTTGGCTGTCCTACAGGGAAGTCCCACCTGGCCATTGTGCAGAAGGTGAACAATGAAGGTGAGGGTGACCCCTTCTACGAGGTGCTGGGCTTGGTCACTCTGGAGGACGTCATTGAGGAGATCATCAAGTCTGAGATCCTGGATGAGTCGGACATGTACAGTGAGTTCAGCCCTCTCCAGCAGCCCAGAACCCCATTGATGTCTGAAATTTGCTGTCCCTAGGTAGAACGACTTCAATGCAGGGGTAATGGAGGCCCTGGCCCCCTAAGCCATGCCCAGTAGCCAGCTAGGTGCCCTCAGCCAGCTAGGCTGTGGTGACAGGGGAACACTATGCTTCCTCTGCCCTCTCTATGGAAAGAGGCCCGGGAGCTAGGGGGTCAGGTTCTAGTCCTCAGGGGTCAGTAGTCTCAATTCCAGTCCTTCCCTCTTACAGCTGACAATCGAACCCGGAAACGGGTATCTATGAAGAACAAACGTGACTTCTCTGCCTTCAAGGATGCTGACAACGAACTTAAAGTAAAAATCTCACCTCAGCTCCTTCTGGCTGCTCATCGATTCCTGGCCACAGGTAAGAGTGTGGGAAGCACCTTCCCCAGTGTGTGGAAATACAGTCACCAAGGGAGTAACCCTCTGGCCCCTCCTCCCGTGGAGAGAGAGAGAGAGCAGTGAGTGCTGGAACACATTCACTTTGGAAGAATCTGGGTATCGCTCCCTCTTCCTTCTTTGGTTTGTTCACCATGAGTGGCTGTCACAGACTTCTAGAAACAACCTCGATAGTTTACAAAGCAAGCACTGAGACATCCAAGGGAGGAGTACCTGGGAGCTGCAGGCCCTTCAGGCTGTGGCCCTGCGATATACTCTGCTCACCCCTGGCCTGCTCACCTGCCCTGAAGAGCCAGTTCCCAGCACCATGCTCACTCCTTCAGTTTCCCTCTCTGCAGGGGAAGACCTTGTGCCCACAGGTCAGCCTGCGGAGCTGACTTGTACACCAGTGGCATCTCTCTCTGACCACTTTTAATTCAAAGCACACTTTGGAATCTGGGTGATAGTTCAGAACAACACTGGCCACCCATGCCCTCACCCTTACTCCAGCTTCCTTTCTGGCTCACGTGCTAAAGGTGCAAGATTCCTCTCCCTTTGTGTTTTCTGGCTAGTTGGTGGTGGTGCAGAGAGTAATAATTGTAGAAACACTTCATACAAGGGAAGAGTGTGTCTAAATGCTATGTTATCTGACTTGAACATGAGACCACCCAGGGACATTTTGTCCCCATGTTACCCAAGAGAAAACCGAGACACATAAGTTCAGTTATCTGCCCAGGGTAATGACTGTTAGTACTAGAGCCATGTAGGCCGAAAGATTCCATCCAAGCAGCAGATGCCAAGTGTGGCCCTTCCCAAGGAGGTGTAGCCTGAAGCAACAGCCCAAGCAGGGAGGAAGCCATCCTAGTACAGAGTGGCCATGGCCACTTCGGTCCTGGCACAGCAGTGAGCCAGCCCCAGGGCCCCACCTGGTCCTAGCCCCATGTGAAGTCTCCTCTTTCTCCTGCAGAGGTACCCCAGTTTAGCCCCTCTCTGATATCAGAGAAAATCCTCCTCCGGCTGCTCAAATACCCAGACGTCATTCAGGAACTCAAGTTTGATGAGCACAACAAGTACCACATCCACCATTACCTGTACACCCGGAACAAGCCGGCTGACTACTTCATCCTCATCCTGCAGGTGAGCCTTTGACGCTGGGCCTCAGGGCTCCCATCCAACACCTGCATATCCACCTTCCGATGAGCCCCAAGAGAGTGTGCAGCCTACCCTTGAACCTGAGCTCCGGGTTTCCCACAGTCTCCCCGAGAGGCCATTCTTGTGCCCACAGGTCAAGGCCTTGAATGCCGCAGGGCTCCAGGGCCAGTGTTCATGCCTCCCTGTTTTGTAGAGATGCCTCAGTTTAACTCCTCTCTTATTGCCACACAGGCCTCAAACCACGTCTCTGAACCACGTTATAATCTTAACCCCGTGTTCTTTCAGGGGAAGGTGGAAGTAGAAGCAGGAAAGGAGAACATGAAGTTTGAGACGGGCGCCTTCTCCTACTATGGGACCATGGCCCTATCCACGGTAACCTCGGGTGAGTTGTGGGCCAGGTCCTTGTGACCCTTGGACACTTGTAAATTAAGGGCCAGAGCTGCCAGGCCTGGGGACCAGAATGACCTTCCCCATTGGAAGGCTGAAGGCAAGAGAGGCAGAGACAGTGTCCTGAGGTAGTGAGGGGACCAGCTAACTGCTGTGAGAAGACTGTGCAAACAGAGAGTCAGGCAGTTCATGGCCTTTGGAAATTGAAACGATCAACCACCTTTGACTGCAGACAGCATGATGAGATTAAAATGGACCAGTCGGAAACCCCTGTACCATCACTGACTAAAACATCAGGGCAAGATGGGAGGCACATGCAGGATTAGGGACTGGGGAACTGGGGTATACAAAGTTCTGGTGTCAGGAGGTAGCTCAGAGCCTGTTTTCCAGGGTAAGTTGTAGATGACTTTGGCTTTCCAGGGCCTCAACTACTACATTTTGGTCATGTTTGGTTCTGATAGTAGGGGCAGCCAATGGGAGCTGGGTCCCCTCAAGAATGACCTCTGGTCTTGGGTGGCTCAGGTGTCCCCCGTTAATTTAAGAGGTCATGTTGAAGAAAGATGAAACTTCAACATTCTAGCAAGCCTCACCCTCCTGGACTTTTCCTTGTGTGAACACTCTGACCTTGGCAGAGGGGTGCCAGCTTACTGCAGGGGAAACAATAAAAGCAACCTTTGGTGCCCAGAGCAGCTATGCCAATAGAGTATTGACTGTAACTCTTAGAGAATCCCTGTGCTATGCTTACCACTGTCCTTTGACAGGAAGCTCCCAATGCACAGGGCCAGGGTATCCATGAATATCAACACAGCAAGACCACTGCTTTCTCTGTCCATGCATTAGGAAGAGCCAGGGTATCACAGGCTCCCGGGGGCAAGATCTAGGGCAAACGAGTTGGGCTACCTCGCCTGAACTTGTCAGGTCTAAGAAAGACTGACCTGTCCCTATGGAGCACATCCTTGTCCTTTTGCTTAGGGAATTTTTGATATTTTGGAATGATCTTGCTTTGTAACTGGGCTGGAACCCTTCATCCTCCTGCCTTAGCTTCCTGATGTTTGGGGAGCTCTTGTTCAGAAGGGATTCCTCCCGGTGCTGATGCAGAGAATTCTCTGGGTCTTGGGTTTAGTCACTTGACTCTCGGTCATTACATTTGGAGTGGCTGGAAGGCAGGGGAGATGACTCTGGGCATTTCTCTGCATAGGGCTCTTTGGTCTGCCTGTGCACCCTTCCCATCTGAGTGTGTCCCAGAGATGGGACTGTGCCCCACTCCCAGCTTACCCTGCTTGAGGTAGCCTGGCCCATCGAATCGCCTCTCCATCCTGTTCCTGTGGCTTGTGACCCTTCCCAGGTCACTGACTTCCTCCTCTGTTGCTCCAGCGCCTCCTGTGCAGGCTGGGTGTTCCCCTGGCAAGCTGAACTCCCTGCTCTCCTGGCTCTCAGGTAACAAGGCATGCTAGAGAAGTGCACAGTGCCACCTGTTGCTAGAGCTTTGTACTGCAGCTGCTCTAAAGGCTCCCATAGGAACCTGGAGACTTGCTCCTAGGCACACTTAGGGTCCAGCCTGACTCCTAATGGGTTTTGTCTCAAGGACCTTCACTACTTGAGAAAGCATCACCCAACAGACACACAAACATATACAATGCTCAGATGAGGGACTTGGGAGTCGAGCATTGTTCTTGAGCAAGCCAAGTGTGCGTGCTCAGCCTGTGTCTGCTGTAGCCTGGAGGAAACAGCCCCGCTGGCCAGCACCCTGCTCCAGCCCACTCAAAAGCCTCTGCGGGATGGCATGTCACCCGTCAGCTTTCTTAGACCTCCTCATCCTTCTTCATAGCCTAAAGATGGAGACTACAGCACAGCACGATGAGGCAAAGCCCCAGAGTGAGGTCATGCCTTTGCATCTCTATGTGCTGTTCTTAGCTAAACTCCACCCAGGTCTTGTTCTTCTCACTTGAAAAATGGAACTAACACTGTACCCACTTCACAAGCTTGGGGTGGGGGCAATAAGTGAGATAACTGATATAGAATATGCTGAGAGTCCAACTTTCATTACTTCTGTTTTCTCTATAACTACTAAAATGTGACATCCCCACCAGCGAGTACTTAGGAAAAAAACAAATGGCAGGTGCTGCTTCTGAAGTTGGCTTCTCCTGGGAATCATGGGAGCAATTAGGCATTTAGTTTGAAGATCCCCACATGTACTCCAGCTGCAACGTGGGAAGGACCCAGTCAGCCTTCAGATTCTGGCCAAGCTCGTGAGCCCCGGCAGCTCTAAAACTTGACAAGCCAGTCAGTTAGTTCTGGTTTATATTTTTATAATTAGTTTTTGTTGTTGTTTTCGGGATAGGGTTTCTCTGTGTAGCTCTGGCAATCCTGGAACTCACTCTGTAGACCAGGCTGGCCTCGGACTCAGAGATGTATCTGCCTCTGCCTTCCAAGTGCTGGGACTAAAGGGCTAGCACACCTGGATTATAATTAGTTTAACTCTCACCGTGTGTGTGTGTGTGTGTGTGTGTGTGTGTGTGTGTGTGTGTGTGTGTTTATGGGGATGGAACCCAAAGCTTCACACATGCTAGACAAGTACTCTACCACTGAGCTAAATACCCAGCCCCTCAATTTTTACTTTTTTTGTGTGTAAATTTTTCTCTTAGTGTTTCACAGTACATGCTATTCTGACCCCCTATTTTAAAAATAATAAATAAAATGGAAACTTAGCTGTCACTCACTGGCTTTGGCCTCCCCACCTTCTCCTGTTCTTAATCTTATTTCATGGATGGCCAGGAGTTTATACATCCATAGCTTGAACCCTGGTGTTTGTACCCAAAATGGATGCTTTTCCATAAATCCCCTCATCAGGGCAGGCAGGAGGACTCAGAAGGGAAAAGCTCTTGCCCCACAGCCTGGCAACCTAAGTTCAGTCCCCAGACTCCCTGATGGAATGAGACACCGACTTCTGAAAGTTGTCCTCTGACCTCCATGAGAACCATAGTTTTCACACACCCACATGCATGTTCATTCATGCACGTTACACACACACACACACACACACACACACACACACACACACACTGAAAGAAAAAAATTGAAATAAAGGGGCTGGAGAGATGGCTCAGTGTTTAAGAGCACTGGCTGCTCTTCCAGAGGTCCTGAGTTCAATTCCCAGCAACCACATGGTGGCTTATCTATAATGAGATCCAATGCCCTCTTCAGGCAAGCAGGTGTATATACAGATAGAGCACTCACGGATAAAATACATAAATGATTTTTTAAAATTGTTTTAAAAACAGGGGCTGGAGAGATGGCTTAATGGTTAAGAGTGAGAACTGGGGCTGGAGATATGGCTCAGAGGTTAAGGGCACCTCTTCCAGAGGTCCTGAGTTCAATTCCCAGCAACCACAACCATCTATAATGAGATCTGGTGCCCTCTTCTGGCATACAGGCATATATGTAGGCAGAACACTGTATGCAAGATAAATAAGTAAATCTTAAAAAAAAAAAAAAAAAAAAAAGAGTGAGAACTGTTCTTGTGGATTGCCAAGGTCTAGTTCCCAGCACCCACATGGCACCTTACAATGTTCATAATTTTTTTTTTCTAAACACTGAATCTTACTCTGTAGCCTAGAAAGGCTTGGAACTTACTGTGTAGCCCAGGCTGGTTATCTTTGCCAGGTAGGACTGGGAACTCAGTGATAGAGCTTCTGGCTAGTGTGGTACAGGCCCTAGGTTTGGTCCCCAGGACTAAACAAGCAAAGTCAGCTCCTGTTGTTATGTTAGTAAACATTAACTAAAGAGCATCTTGTCATGTCATTCAAATAATTAAAATGAAATATTTTAAAAATTTTATTACAGTTTTTGTTTGTGTGTGTGTGTGTGTGTGTGTGTGTGTATACAAGCAAGTGTGCGTATGTGCACATGGGAAGTCAGAGAACCACTTGTGGGAGTCAGTCTCTCCTTCCACTACGTAGGTCCAGGGGATTGAACTCGGGTCATTAGGTGAGTCAGCAAGCACCTTTACCTGCTGAGCCATCTTGCTTAGTATAACAATATTAAGTAATAATGCCAGTATTTCGTCCTCTCTCCCTCCCTGGACATGGTCTTCCAGTAGCCTCTTGCTTCCTGGTTTTAGTAGTAGAGCCACTACCCAGTCATTGAGTCATCAGACTGCATGTTCCTAGTTTTCTCTAAGTGACAGTCACAGCCTGGGCAGGTACCTGCATAGTCTTACTTGGCTAAAGGCTGTGTCAGTCCACTGAGTCACTGGGTTCTGCATTCTTTGTGTCTCCAATGTGTTGTCCCTATCTTAGTGTCTAGTCATTTCATAGCTACCGAAAGCCCATCCACTCAGCCCACTCCCAGCTGCTCAGATTGAGCCCCCCTCCCTCTTCAGAGTTAGCTTCTCTGTGCATGTCACTGTTCTGAGTGTTCTCATAACTAAGAGCCAAGGATGGCTGATAATCTAGTTTCTTCTCTCTTCCTCTGGACTCCAGTCACTACTCTTGCCTGGGGAGGGAGGACTGTGCTGCCTTTGGGACCTCTGGCTTTCTGGGACAAGGGCCTGTTAGCCCATTTCCTTGCCAGGGTTGGGGTTACATGTACAGCACACCTTTGACCCCCTTAAGACAACTGTAGGCGGCGGGCAGGGTGGTGGTGGCGCACACCTTTAATCCCAGCACTCGGGAGGCAGAGGCAGAGGCAGAGGCAGAGGCAGTCGGATCTCTGTGAG